CAAAGGATAATTTTCTTTCTTCTTTTGGAGCGGCGGTAAGGTTTCATCAAGGTCAGAATAGAACCTTTCTTACATTTTTCAATCACACTCTGTATGGAACCTTGATACTGTAAATAGCTCTACCAGAACAAAGAACATTGCAGAACGTTTTCTGAAGAAGGGTCTAGGCCCGAAATGTCAGCCTTCCTGCTCCTCTGATGCTGCTGGGCCTGCTGTGTTCATCCAGCTCTACACCTTCTTATCTCTACCAGAACAAAGGTGCTTCCAACATTGTCACTTAAGAAATGCACAAAGCTCCTCTGTAATATCAGGGTCATGATCCATGGAAACGTGAGATTTCACCTCCAGAGCACCGATATTTCTATAGTGTCCGTCTTGACCACAGCATACCCTGATTGTAATTCAGGAATAGGCACAGATGATTTGCACAATAATGACTAGATGAATGTTCTTGTGATGACTGAAGGACAAATACCAGCCAGGGAACTAGGAAGGACCCCAACGTTCTTCTCGAAATTGTTGTCCAGAGCTCAATTCATCCGTTGGGAATCTCTGCCACAGGTCTTTATGTGACTGAACAGGCCAAGACTTTATCCATGGATCCTCGGTAACATGGGACAAGATGTAAAATAGTATCATAGGATCTTTTACGGCCACCTCAGAAAGAAGACCTGACCTTGATTTAACATCTCATTCAGAAAGACAGAATCTCTGACAGTGCAGCACTTCTTCAGTGTTGCTCAGAGGTGTCAGTCGAGATTTTGTGCCAAATTTCTGAAATGCAATTTGAACTCAGAAACTGTTCTTTGAAATTAATTTATGGGATGTGGGCACCACAGGCTAGGTCAGCATTTATTGCTCATCACTGACTGCATTAAGAGTCGAACACATATTGCTGTGGGTCTGGAGTCACACGTAGGCCAGACCAGGTGAGAATGGCAGTAAGGACATTAGTGAACCAGATGGATTTTTCCCAACACTCAACAATGGTTTTACAAAAAACTTTACAGGAGTTGTCACCTTTAGCCTCCAGTATTGCTGGCCTCATCCACCTACCCATTCAGACCAGCAGGTGACACAGTTCAATGAGAGTGTTCTGGCACATCCTCTCTCTGTGGTAACACTATACCTTGCTCATTTGGAGCAAATGGCATCAAGGCCAATCAATTCTCTGCCTTGTGCATATCATTTGCAATTTGACGGGTCATTCAGACATCTTCACGCACAGGCTGTTTGCCAGCTGCTTGAGATTACTGCTGAGCCTGGGTTTATTAGTGTAACTGTTGCTTCCCAATTTCTCTGTGTTGTTGTTGTATTGCAGTCACAGTGCCAATAATCCCTGCAGTGGCTCGATTTGCTGAACTTGCAGGGGGAACATCAGCAACACATCAGGTCCTGAGTACCATTAGCACTCAATGTTCATATCACACATACATGGCGGTTTAGCATAGTGCTTGATGCAGTGGAACACAGAGAGCTTTGACACGGAAGACCATGGGATACATCTACATCTTTGACATAGTGACCTTATTCTGTTGCATGCATCATAAGCCATGTCACATAGTGGGAAATTTTAAGTCCAGAAGGATTACTGAACCTTGTCTCTCCACCCCAACACCATCCAATCCATCCCTGCTTCCCCACTCATCACCACATCTCCCCCACACTCACCCTTCCATTTTGATTTTCTAGTCTGCGTTGATTATATTTTGACTGTTTAAATGAATGGCACAGCAACTATTATGCATCATTTCATGAATGAGATCCCATTATTTGTTGCCCAGTTCCCCTTGCATGGCTACAAAACAAGCAATATATATTTACTTTCACCCATGTGTTACTGGTAAATCCTATGAAGAGAGCACATGCTAACATACAAGTACTGTTTAGACAGTGATTTATGTGAGAGCTTTATCAGGTTATGGCAAGAGATCAGCAATATGAAAACTGTCAATACACTTCTCAACTTTAATTATGTTGCCATGCTCCCAATTTTGTGAAAATAATCTTAATTGCTGGTTAAATAATTGTGAACAAACATTCTCTTGTTACGGTACACTCACTAAAATCCAACTACTGAAAAATTGGAAATGTCCAAAAATCAAAACTGTTTCTTTCATTCTGCATTGAACCTTAACCCACTTGACCCAACCTGGAAAAGTTTGGGAAGTTGGCAAGTGCTGTATGGACTTGTACACTTCTGGTTTCTGAGGTTACAGTTAACCTTGCTTCCCCCACTGAATCAGTTCAAAACAGGAAAAGGTTATTGCAGTGACTGCAATGAGGTCAGCCAGCTGGACCTCATAAAATATGAGTTTCCTGATTAAGCTGTTAATCTAGTCTAATCAGGGAGCCCTGGTTGACAGACGTAAACAGGAGAGTCAGAGGTTCTCCAATAGTAGGAACTGCAGATGCTGGAGAATCTGAGATAACAAGGTGTAGAGGTGGATGAACACAGCAGGCCAAGCAGCATCAGAGGAGCAGGAAGGCTGACGCTTCTGAAGAAGGGTCTAGGCCCGAAACATCAGCCTTCCTGTTCCTCTGATGCTGCTTGGCCTGCTGTGTTCATCCAGCTCTACACCTTGAGTCAGAGGTTCTGTTCACTCTGAGGAAGATATATCAGTGTCTAGGACCGTCTGTGTCTAAATAAAGGCTGACTTGTTGATGGGATACCAGCCTCTGTGGAATTATTTCAGTTATTAAATCCAATGCCTGAGAAATTAATCAATACCAGCAGCAACAGAGATGAGCAAGAATTGCTTGCCCAGCCAGCAATACCCACATCTACTGAATGATTTTATCTTTAAATGGCTTCAGCCATCCCTGCAAGTGTCAGAGATGGTTGCACTACAATTCTGAGTTCTAGTGAATTTTTAATTTGCTTCACATTTGCTGAAAAAAACAAGCAAACAAGATTTCGATCTTGCAGGACGAGTTTGAGATTTATGCACTAGCTGATAAACAGGACATTAGGGATGCTAGTGGTCCTATGCTGTGTCAGGAGAGAAAGATAAATATGTGTGAGCAAGCTGCATAAAGGGTTTACATTCATGGAACACTGAATCACATTCTGGAATTTAAAAAAAAATCTATGGCCTTCACCTAAACCAAAATACAAGAGTCTGCATCAAATTCCTTCTTGATCTGAACTCTCCCTGTCTCTGAACCCTGCCATTGATATGACCTCTCTGCACTTCTCTGCTGCCAACCTCTTACTTAATTACTTGCTGACCATATCTTTAGGGGCCAAAGTCCCTACATTCTGGGTTCCCTCCACTGAATTCAAACTAAAGTTAAATTCAGGACCAAATTATTCTTCACAAAGAGTGATCAAAACTTGGAATACAGTTCCATGCAGTGGCAGAGGCAAAAACCCAGAAATAGTTTAAGAAATAATGTAAATGTTAGGGAAAGGGGTTGCAGTGCGTTTTGGGATATATATGTGGCTGTCCTCACCTTTAATTAATTGTGAGTCTTTAAAAATACCCCGATTTCACATGAAAATACCCAATATCCTCCCAAGCAGCTACGAAGGCAGTAATTACATTAACACTTTAAGTGACCATTTATCAATGGCCTTCTCAGTTTCAGTTTGTTATGCTACTTCTACAGATTTTTCCCACATATATTTTTATCTTTAAAGTTACTCTAAATCTGATCTTAAAAAAGTGAACAAAATAATTCCCACAGGCTGTCATTTTGCAACTTTGATCGTCTTTTCCCTGTATAAAACCACATTGCCATGTGTCTGGAGTCACATACCGACCAGACCAGGTAAGGGTGGGAGATTTTCTTCCTTAAAAGGGACAAAAGTGAACCGTTTGTTTTGTTTTACAACAATCCAGCAGTTTCATGGTCATCCTGCCATCCTGATGTATGGAATTAACTGGACAAATTCCTCATTATGCCAAAATGGCTTTTGAAATGACATCTCCAGATTATTAATCCAATGACATCACTGTGTTACCACAAAATCACCTACCAGATCTATAGGGCTGCTCTCTCATTAGAGAGAGACGATTGGTGGTGGTTTAACCTGCGGGTCAAAACACCTCAGGCAAGGGGAGAGGTTGAGAAGGAGAGTCCTTCATAGTCATCTTAGCTGGTGTGGGAACTGGAGCCTGCTATTGGCCTCACTCTGCATCAGAAACCGCCATCCAAGCTAACTGTGTCCCTCCCACATCAGTAACAAGAATCCACTGTAAGTAAATTGAAATAACGGTGATATGACTGTGGTCATCAGTTAGTCACATAAGGTCACATCACATCGCAGGAATACTAACACTGTTTTACAATTTTAAATTACAGAAGTGTAGCAAAATTAAGTGATTTAATTAATACATGCATATTTTTGAAAACTCACCTAGCTATGCTATAAAATTTGTGCTGTTGCTCTTCCTCCCAGATGTCCCTTCCTCACATTGCATTGCAAACCAGCTGAGCTAACCAATCCCATCAATGTTACCGTGCACATGATAATTCACCTTGATAGTCAGGTTCCTGTGTGAAGTTAGATTCTCTTTAGTAACACAGACCGAAAATTTGTACCATTTTGTGGTTAACTTCAGCCTGAATTCAATCCACTGCATATTGAGGCAACTTTGTAAACTTCTGAAGAAGGGTCGAAACTTTAACTCTGTTGCTTTCTCCACAGATGCTGCCAGACCTGCTGAGTTTCTCCAGCAATTTCTGTTTAAGATTTCCAGCATCTGCCGTTCTTTGTTACAGATCTTTGTAAACTCCATTCTGAGCCCTTGTTGTAGGAAAAAAAAATCAACGCCTTCAGTACATTATATCCAGGAGTATGTTTTTATATATAAATAGCAATGGAGTGGGGAGAGTTGTGTTTTAAGGTAGTGTGTGGATGAAGATGAATTCAGCCTGGACTGATTTATACTGCAGTAAACCCCCTGTGGCCCTGCCATTCAAACTGAAGCAAGCCCAAGGCCAGGTTTGTCTTGTACAACAGGAGAGAGAGAGGAAAAAAACATAAAACTTACGGTCAATCAGACGCAGAGCCGCTCCTTCCTCCTCTGCTTTCATTTCCAGTTTAAGGGGCTGTTGGCTCTCCGGGGAGTGAGCGAACTGGAACCCTCCTTTCTGATCCTCGTTCACAAAGACCAGTGACACACTGTGTTCCTGCACCGAGCCAGCCATCGGCAGACAGAACCGACAACAAAGAGCTCTCACTACAAGCCGCCAGCGAGGCTACCGAGAGCACAGGGCGATGGTAACCGGAGCTGTACCGTCCCCAAGCTACAGAAACCTGAATATCTCCTGTCCCCTGCTGGTGAACTCTTGTGAAAACCGAAAGAGAACTGCGAATGCTGGAAATCAGAAACAAAACCAGAAATTGCTGGAAAAACTCAGCAGGTCTGGCAGCATCTGTGCAGAGAGATCAGATTTCTGAGCGAGGGTCACACAGTTTGTGTTTCGGGTCGAGTGACCCTTCAGCAGAAAGCAGCAATGTTGAGGGGAAATGGATCTGCAATTTGTACAATAAAACTAGAACAGCTGATTGTGGAGATCTGAGATTTCTGTTTGTGTGACAATCTGTAGATTTACCCCCCTCCCAACTGGAACTGATGAATGTTTGGTAAATGGTAATCTCAGCCAGTGGGGGGAATTGAACCTATGCTGTTGGTGTTACACTACATCACAAACCAGCTGTCCAGCCAACTGAGAGATAGTAGGAGCTGGAGAATCTGAAATAACACAGTGTAGAGCTGGATGAACACAGCAGGCCAAGCAGCATCAGAGGAGCAGGAAAGCTGACATTTCGGGTCTGGACCCTTCTTCAGAAAAGGGTCTTTGTCTAGTCAACTGGATGCTCATGTGTTGCTGCCCCTCTCTGTAGGTGCCTGCCCTGTCTCTATGAGAGGAAGGAACTCCTGGACACAGGGTGAGCTTTCTTGTCTCCTTTTGATCTTAACACTGATGCTGAGCTGAGGAAAGGCAGGTCCTAACTGTAATCTGCAGCTATTCAGCGTTCTGCAGAATCCGAGTCTCCAAGGTGACTGACAGTGCGTTGAGTATAGGAGTTGGGAGGTCATGTTGCATCTGTGCAGGATGTCGGTTACACCTCTTTAGGAATTCTGGTCACCCTGCTGTAGGAAAGATGTTAAACTTGAAAGGGTGCAGAAAAGATATACAAGGATGTTGCCAGGGTTGGAGGGTTTGAGCTATAGGGAGAGGCTGAATAAGGCTGGGGCTATTTTCCCTGGAGCGTCTGAGGCTGAGGGGTGACCTTATAGAGGTCTATAAAATCATGAGGATCATGGATAGGGTAAATAGACAGGGTCGTTTTCCCTAGGGTGGGGGAGTCCAAAACTAGAAGGGCATAGGTTTGAGGTGAGAGGGGAAAGATTTAAAAGGGACCTAAAGAGCAACTTTTTTACACAGAGGGTGGTGCGTGTATGGAATGAGCTGCCAGAGGAAGTGGTGGAGGCTGGTACAATTACAAGACTTAAAAGGCATCTGGATGGGTGTGTGAGTAGGAAGTGTTTAGATCAATATAGGCCAAATGCTGGCAAATATGACTAGGTCAGATTGGGATGTTTGGTTGGGGTGGATGAGTTGGACCAAAAGGCCTATTTCTGTGCTGTATGACTCTTTGATTTTCCATGGAGGGATCTGAGTGCTCACATGCCAGAGTCACCATTGAAAACACAGATTAGCATCTTTATCTTTGGCTGCAGTCTACTGAGTGCCTTTGACACAACTGCTTGATATTCCCCTGCCTCTCTATCTGGAGGTTAATCATACAACTTACAGCTGAGTACAGAGGCAAATGTTATGCCTGGGACCGGTCTTGCATCTCCAGCAGTGTGCTCAATGTCAAAGACTTTGATTGTTTCTTCCTCTCTCTAACAGCTGCAGAGATGTATCAGCGATGCACTCACCAGCTAGTGACCCTGATGCAGTGTCGGGAAAGCACCTGCGGAAATGACTGTCTCTGTGCTGGTGAACACAGCAGGTCAATACCTTTGAGGGCTCACAGTCTTTTTCCTCCAAGGTATAGGGCTCAGGTTGTGGTCTCTTCCTTTGTTGATGGTGCCTGGGTGCCACTAGTGTCTATGGAAGAGAAGGGACCGATTTACTTGGTGAAGATGCAGAGAGACTTATAGAGTCATACAGCACAGAAACAGGCCCTTCGGCCCAACATATCCATGCCAGCCAGGTTTCCTAAACTGAACTGGTCCCATTTGCCTGCGTTTAACCCATATCCCTCTAAACCTTTCCTATCCAAGTACCCATCCAAATCTCTTTAAAATGTTGTTTTAACCAGCCTCTACCACTTCCTCTAGCAGCACGTTCCATACACGCATCACCCTATGTGCAAACAAGTTGCCCCTCAGGTATCATTTAAATCATTCCCCTCTCATCTTAAACCTATGCCCTCTAGTTTTGGACTTCCCTAGCCTGGGGGAAAGACCTTGGCTATTCACCCCATCCATGCCCCTCATGATTTCATAAGTCTCTATAACGTCAGACCTCAGCCTCTTAGGCTCCAGGGAAAAAAAGTCCCAGCCGAACCAACCTTTCCCTATAACTTAAACCCTCCAGTCTCAGTAACAGCCTCGTAAATCTTTTTGCACCCTTTCCAGTTGAATAACATCCTTCCTCTAGCAGGGTGACCAGAATTGTACGCAGTACTCCAAATGTGGCCTCACCAAGGTCTTGTATCTCCGTAACATGATGTCCCAACTCCTGTACTCAATGCTCTGATGAAGCAAAGCATGCCAAATGCCTTCTTCACCACATTGTCTACTTGTGATTCCACTTTCAAGAAACTATGTACCTGCACCCCTAGGTCTCTTTGTTCAACAACACTCCCTACAGCCATACCGTTAAATGTGTAAATCCCTCCCTGGTTTGTCTTACCAAAATGCAACACCTCGCATTTACCCAAATTAAACTCCATCAGCCAATCTTCTGCCTACTGGTCCAGTTGATCAAGCTTCCCTTGTACTCTGAGATTACCTTCTTCACTGTCCACTCTACCACCAATTTTGATGTCATCCACAAACTTACTAACCATTTCTCCTACATTTTCATCCAAATCATTGATATAAATGACAAACAGTGGACTCAGCACTGATCCTTGTGGCTCACCACTGGTCACAGGCCTCCAGTCTGAACACCATCCCTCCATCACCACCCTCTGTCTCCTATTGTCAAGCCCATTATGAAGAAAAATTTGTTGGCACTGGTGCCCAACTGAGAAGCCCAGAACACAATGTTCTTCCTGGATTTCTGTCCCATTAGTATTTTCCTTCCCTCACAGGAAAAGTTCTGGTTAGCTTAAGGCTCCTTTCTTTCTAGCGGTTGAGGAATCTGATGTCCACCATCCCACCAGCAATCAGACACATGTTGGACAATTTAAAGAAGCATTGCAAGCTGATTCACCCTCAGTCACAGTTGTTTCAATGTTAGTGCGCAGCAATCAGAAAGAAACAGGCTGTGATGAAGCAGTTTCAGAGATAGTGGGAACTGCAGATGCTGGAGAATCTGAGATAACAAGGTGCAGAGCTGGATGAACACAGCAGGCCAAGCAGCATCAGAGGAGCAGGAAGGCTGACGTTTCGGGCCTAGACCTTTCTGAAGAAGGGTCTGTGCTGCCACCATTACTTCCCAGAAGTAAATGAACAGGCCCCCTTGCTGATGGTATAGGCTGGAGTGGGACTTATTACAATGAACTCATGGCCATTCGTTGAAATAAGAAGCAGCAAATATCTGCGAGCCTGACAACTGCTGGTTGCCAGCAGAATCCTGTGAGACAGAGAGAGGAGCTAAAGTACTAGCAAATGGCAAGAGCTCCTGACAATTAGGAGGAAGTTCAAAAGCCAAAGAAGTTGAAAACCACAGACACCAACAGGGAACTGTGAACTTTACTTGCTGTCCTGGTTTCCAAGCTTTGAGGACTGAATGCTGTAAGTTGTGTGTAAGTGAGTTTTAATCTTGTTGCACAAATCTAATTTTGTTAGAAGTTAGCAGTAGTTAGCACTAAACTGAACTTGACAGTTTAAATTCTAAAGTTCTCAGCCTTGCACAGGTTTATAACACAATGGTCGCTGGTAGGTCAGTTGGTCTTAGTTAAATAAAGAAGTGGTTGAAACATGGTCCTCTACAACTGGATCAGCTAGGCTTTTCAGGTTAGGAGAACATAACATTTGCCAACATAGTGTGACTTCGCACTTAAATACAACTTAAAATAGAGTGCTGGGAATTGTATAATGAAGGGAGTTGGGGGAGGAAGAGCAAGGTTTGCTCCTTTACTATGTTTTTCCATATTGTTTTTCAGCCTGTAGGAATTATTTTTGATCATACAGTCATAGAATCCCTACAGTGTGGAAACAGGCCATTTGGTCCTTCCAGTCCACAGCGATGCCTCCAAACTCAGACCCACTGCTACCCTTTCCCTGCAACCTTGCATTTCCCATGGCTAACCCACGTAGCCTGCACATCCCTGGACACTATGGGCAATTTAGCACGGCCAATCCACCTAACCTGCACATCTTTGGACTGTGGGAAGGAGCTGCTATGTGAGAAGGAGCTTTTATTTATGGTGATGGTGGTGACTGGAACTTTGTCTATAAGGTATGATTCTGAGAGTATGATTATGTCATCCTGATCATTGACTAATCTGTGGGACAGCTCCCCAAGATTTTGACAAAAGCCTCCAAATGTGAGGATGTTTTGGCAAGGTTGACAAGGCTTCATTTGTGATTACTGTTTCTTATACCTTGGTTAATGTTGGATGGTCCATGTGGTTTCATTCCTTTTTTGAGACTTTGTTGTAGTTTGATGCATCTGAGCAGCCTTGAGGGTATTTCAGACGGCAGCTTAGAGCTAACCACATTACTGTGAATCTGGAGTCACACGAATACTACACTGGGTAAGGGTGGCAGAGTTTTTTTCCTAAGGGACCTTAGCAAATCAGATGGATTATGTGAAATGAAACATGGTTAAACACATCAGTCATCAAGGCATCAGAGTGCACTGCTCTCATAAATGCCCTGAACTCCCAACTGAATACTCTCGGAAGTTGGGGGATATACCACTCAGCATTCACACTACATGGCAGTGAGGAGTCTAGCGACAAGCCTCATTATGTAGCTCTCTGTTAGCTCTACATACTTCAGAATGCAGCCTCTGCATTATTGTGGGCAGTAGCTGTTGTTACTGTCACAGGTAGAGTAGACATGGGTTCTGAAAGAGGGGCTGAGGGGTTAGAAGACAAGGACATGGAGGTGTTCTCAGAACTTTCACTCTCTTCCTCACCAGTCTCCAGAGCTGTAGGTTCAGGTGGATTTGGCTAATGACGTTCATCCAGCCCAGCAACCTCCATGCCTCTGGTGCCAATGTCCTATCAAGGAAGTGCAATTTCTAATATATCCCACGGATGTCACTTCTCCTAAACTGAGCCAACTGTTCTAGGTTAGAGCGGGCCTTGTAATGGACTGATGCTGTGTATTTATCTCTCCATGACATGGACCATTTTCTCATT